TGGATTGTGTTTCACTTCCCAAAGTTTTCTTTTCAGCATTATATAGCCCCACAGTCCTAGTACCCACTATAAAAGCTTCAGCTTTAAAGAGTTGGTTACACAAGAGATATTGAGTGATAAATTTTTACTACTAGCGACGCCTGTAACTCAATCTTAGAGCGACATTTAGAGTTGAGGATAGTTTTATTTCCTAGCACAACTCAATATGTATCTATTCTGAAATTTTCATGATTCTATATCACGTTAATCAAAAATGGCACGCTTCTCAGTGGACACCAGTGAGACCGACATCGTCAGTTGAAGGAAAAGGATCTCAGATTAAAAATTCAATATCTCAGTGACGATTTGAGCTATCGAGGTGCGATTGGTGGCAAAAAACTCACTTATTGGTGCACTTTTGAAATATGTATGTGAAATAAATATTTGAAAAAATCGATTGAGCACCATAAGTCATTACTTAAGTGAAACGGCTCTTAAGAAGAATCTCGCTAACCATTTTGGATTGTTTCAAGCTTATCTTTGTATCTTTGAGAAATCATGGGTATAAAAAAATGAAAGGAGATCGGATTGAACAAAAGCAAAAGTTCGGTGTTCACAATATCAAGTTTTACTTAAATTTGGTTTACATTTTCACTGACTAGTGTAGTGAAGTGACCCTTAGCAGACCATGAAACATTAGCGACCTTGATGTTTTGTCAGGAGAAGTGTATGGTGCGACAATAGCGATCTGCTGTAAAATTGAACGGGTCAACAAGGTGCAACCTATCCGAATGATCTACCTCCAAACCTTGCTGGGCTACGTAGAGCAGGGCACTTTTATCTATTTCTCGGTTTCCAAACGGTCCTACTGATGACTTCTCAAAATCGTGTTTGAGTTCCTCACAGTGAGGGTTACTCCATATTTATTTTGTGTGACTGTCTGTGGCTCGTTCACATTATTCATGTGCACTAGGTATGGCACATTGGCTTCCATTGCTCCTTTAAATTTTTGGAGCATCTACACGATTCAACCCAATTCGACTTGAGGTTTCTTTGAAGAGTTATGATTCTAAATACTGCTATAACTTTACTGTCCTGATCGTTTTTCAGTGCAACTTATGAACGAAGTCTCTCTGAAAAACAATTCCATTATTTCAAAGATCACTAATTAGGTGTGCACTGATTCCAGTTCGTGACTTGAAATTATTTAGAATTGGCAGGACTTGAAGTTGGCACTAGTCGAAATTGTTTTTTGTAGAATTACTGATTTCGCACATATTCACATAAACTATTAGTCAGTTTCCAATTTTTTCAAGACCAATGCCAAAACAACTCCGATCCAGGGCTGGGCGAGTCAAGTCATTTCTCGACTTTAGTCGAGTCGAGTCCGAGTCATTTCGTAACGATATCGAGCCGAGTCAAGTCGAGTCACCACTGTTACCAAGTCGAGTTGAGTTGAATCAAACTACGACTGAACCTTTTTGCGTTTTGTTTATGTTATAAAGAACCTCAACAAAAGCTTTTCATCTTAAGAGCTCTAGCTTCTCATTTTTATGCGGAAAAGCCAAAATAGATGGCAAATAAAATAAAATAACGCAACTTATCTATACTAATTAATAAAACAAGAACATTGATATTAGCTCTTCTGCTTTAGACAGCGGCACAGTACAGGAAAAAAATATGTGGTTTTTGTAAGCAAAAACCTAGCTTCAAAACTACTAAAAAGCAAAAATTCTTATTATCATTTAAAATAAATGCCGTATTGCATTTTAAAGATGTTACAATAAAAATATTAGCTTTTGTAAAACGTGAATAATTTGATCTCTTGGACCGAACACTTTGACAGAATACATGTTCGTATGACGCTGCTACGGCAGGAACATGCATGATTGTTTCAGCAAGCTTATTAAGAGATCGATATTCATCTTTTTACAGAGTGCGCATATGAAGGAGGGTATCTCACATAAGCATTTTTTGTTGAGAAATAGACAATTAGAAATGACAGATGGATGATTCTGGTAATCAAAATAAGCTCACACAACACTTACTTTATAGCACGATAAAGAATATGATACGGAATGTAATGCGAGATTTTCATTGATTTTATTAAATATACATACAAATTATTCAAAAATGAGTCAAAAATCAAATTCGAGCAAAAATGCACATATTCGATAAAATGCGTAGGCTACTATTTATGACTAACTGAATACACGAACCGAAAGAAAGCTCTTGAAAAAATTAGTCCGATACAATGTACTCAATTAGGACGAAAGTTCTAAATAAGTGAGAATTTAATCTTATAAATTAAGAATTCTTTTTATAACAGCAAATGTATTTTTTTTTGAATAAATGACTCGAGTCAAACAGTCGAGTCAGTGCTATTAAATTTTCGAGTCCGAGTCATGATTCGGACTCGCTCAGCCCTGCTCCGACCAATGCTAAGAATTGGCATTGGTTTATCTCTACTACTAAAACAGAAAGCTGAATACTTTGTTACGTTTCATGAGCGTGTTTCTGTGCAATGTTGATGAAACGATATGATATTAAAACGTGTAGGTCAAGTCACAACCTAAGATCTCAGAACAAAACCAGATGCCTCAGAATACTGTAACAATTACGAAAAATAAGAGAATGCATATCAAAGTAATTTCGAGTGAGCGTGTCATTTCCTATCCGTATCGTTCAAAAATACCCTCTAACCTCGAATAGAAACATCGGTAAGTACCCTTTGAAGATTCATCACCACTGTTCTCCATAGGGTAGCCCTGGAGGAGTTGGAGATACTCCCGGCTAGTAGCCTTTAAAGATTCAGGTGAAGATTCAAGTAGAATACCAAAGTGTAATGGTTCCAAATTTGTGAGAGTCTTAGTAACATGGGTTTTGGCAGTTCCGTGAACTGAGCTGATCTGCTTAAAAAGTTCAGCTTAGCTCCTCAGAACTGCTCGAAAAGTTCTTTCGACTCTATCTTATCTGTGTGAACAGTTCATTTGATACCGAAAGACCTTTTCTATGATTCCATAGAGCTAAGTTGATCTGTTAAAAAAAGGTCAGATCAGATCAGAGAACTTTACCAATAGTTTGTCAGATCGAAGCTTATAACCGAACTGAGCTACCCTTTAATCAAGAATGATTACCGAAGATTTTCTAAGCACACCTACTTTAACTTTGATTATTTAAAAGTTAATGTTTAAAGTATCACTTTAACTTTAATTCTTGAAGTAAAGTTAAACTACTATATATCTAAACAATGTCAAGAGCATAGTTGAAAACAGTCTAGTTTTTTCAGACCGGTACCGGTCTGAGAACTTCAGAGAAGACTGGACCGACCGGTATACCAGTAATAAACGGGGTACTTGTGATACGTCAGCCTATCCGTAAATGCCAGTCTACAGACAATCGATCGAGCCTTATAATGAAATCTTGTTTCATAATGAAGTCTTATGAGCTACCTTGGTATACTGCATAGATGGAACCAGTCTAACCTTTTTCAGACCGGTACCGGTTCCATCACTGATCGAGGGGTCAACCGACATCTGCATCAACGCTCAAAAGTACGCTGACACCTATGCCTAGGATTTAGTCAATCAAATATATTCTGATTGCGTTTTATAGCAATAGATTGTTCCTGTTTTATGTTTAGTTAAATATGATGTCTCTTTCTGTTGTTAGTCATCTGCTGATATCATTCACTTAATGGTGTGGGGTGTGTGTATATGTGCATGAACACAAGACGACATACACACGCACACCCCACCCCACCCACACACACATCCGCCTTCCAAAGATCAGCACAAATCCCATCATTGACGGGTGCTTTTCCATTCTTCATTTTGCTAATAGCGTCTTGAATTTCTATTAACAACGGTAACTTGTTCTGACGGCATTATTCAACTTCAGACATCAATGAAACATCGATATTTTGCATGATATTAGGATCAACTATAGAATGTATGTTGAGAAATTTGCAAAAGTGTTCTTTCTATCGTCCAATTGTATCTTTTGAGTTTGTTAAGATTTTACCAATATAACATATATATGTACAGTATTAGACAAAATTATAAGAACAAGGTATTTTTGATTTTTTTCCACTATATCACACATTTATCTCAAACAGAAATATTGAGTTGCATAGTCAAAAATGTACTGTATCAGAAGCATTATACACTATATTTTCATAGATGAATTAAGAGAGAAAAAGTCCTAAAAAAACAAAAGCCGGCATTTGTCATGTCCTAGAAACGTTTGTCAGAGTCAGTTTTGGACAGTGCCATCTTAAAGAGCATTAACTTCTGATTAAAATGAGAGGTAGTCGAGTTTTCTACGACATTCTTGTGTAAAGTTACAAGCATCACAAAAAAATAAAAAATTGCCCTTTTTAACTGTTTTTCAGCGATTTTTGGCAAAATTTCACGTCTTTTCGTTTTCGTGATGCTTGTAACTTTGCACAAGAAGGTCATAGAAAACTCGACTACCTCTCATTTTAATCAGAATTTAATGCTCTTTAAGATGGCACTATCCAAAACTGACTCTGACAAACGCTTCTAGAACATGGCAAATGGCGGCTTTTGTTTTTCGGACTTTTTCTCTCTTAATTCATCTATGAAAATATAGTGTATAATGCTTCTGATACAGTACATTTTTGACTATCCAACTCAATATTTCTGTTTGAGATAAATGTGTGATATAGTGGAAAAAAATTAAAAATACCTTGTTCTTATAATTTTGTCTAGTACTGACAACAAAGAACGTAAATAGAAGATATAAATAGAGATCAAAAGAAGATAAAAGATGATAGAGGATAATATAAAAGAATGATGATATCAACATAGCACACGGTTCCCAAATCCACAGATGAGAAAAGCGGAGAGTTGCAGCAAAGGTGAAAAATCAAAACAACAGAAAACTAACCACTGCGATTATGATATAGACCATTTTTAGCGTTCAGAGAATATGTCCGCACTCTTCACTTCATTGCTATACTCTTTTCAGCTTTTATGTGCAATTTAAAGTTTGCACCAATGTTGTCATATACAACTGGCTCTCGTCCTCCTGACTCGATTGCTCTGGGAGATTTCAACAACGACAATCAGTTGGATGTTGCCGTTGCCCTTCATCGCGGTCATAATATGGCTGTGTTTCTTGGATATGAGAATGGAACACTTGCAGCACCAACGTTGTTTCCAACGGGCTCGAATCCTTGGGGTATCATTGCTGTGGACTTTAACAACGACAATCGATTGGATATTGCTGTCGCTAATGGTTTCGAAAACAATGTGGGTATTCTTCTTGGATATGGTAATGGATCGTTTACAAAACAGATCGCGCTTTCAACTGACCTGGACCCGTGGATGTTCGCCGTCGGTGATTTGAACAATGATAATCAACTGGACGTCGCTGTCGTTAATTATGCCAGTAACACCATGGGTGTCTTTCTAGGGTATGGTAATGGAAGTTTTTCAGATCAATCGACGTTTCCAACTGATACGAATCCGCCTTCGATTGCCGTCGGTGATTTTAACAACGATGGTCGACTGGACATCGCTGTCACTAATCTGCAGAGTAACAATATAGGTATCTTTCTGGGGTATGGCAACGGCACTTTTGCTGCCCAAGCGACGTTTGCAACTGGCACTAAGCCTAGCTGCATCGCTGTCGCTGATTTCAATCACGACAGTCAACTGGATATCGTTGTCACTAATGGGCCCGACAATACTATGAGTGTTCATCTCGGGTATGGTAATGGGACCTTTGCAACTCAAACAATATTTTCAACTGGTAATAACCCGCAATGGGTCGTTGTTGGAGATTTGAACTTGGATAATCACTCAGACGTCATTGTCGCAAATCATGACAGTGACAGTGTAAGTGTCTTTCTTGGATATGGTGATGGAATTTTTGCGGCTCAAGTGACATTTCCAGCTGGCAAGGAACCGTATGCAGTTGCAGTTGCTGATTTAAACAATGACAATCGGCAAGATATTGCTGTCGCCAATAATGGCGATAACACTGTTGGTATTCTTTTTAATACGTGCACTTGTGGTGCTCCTTAACTTGAACTCATTTTATTATACTAGCTGCTCTGATTTCTCATTCATTGCATATAGAATCTAACAAACGTGCTTCTATACATTCCGATATATAAATATATATACATGAAGATAGATATATCGCATGAAAACAGATCGACCTCTATGTCAATCATACTTCTCAACTCTTGCTTTTCAGCAATCGACCTAGTCGAAAATCAAATTAAAATTGAATAATAATAAATAGAGAAGTATGCTTTGATTAAAATAATTGAAGAGAAATGCAGAGTTAATTTCACCGACGCGTTTCGTGTTATTTATTAACATATTAAAACACTCATCATGGCTCTGCATTACAAAGAAAACCATAAAGGTACAAATTAAAAATACAGATTAAAAAAACAAAGAATTTTTAAGGAAAAGACAACAATTTTGCAAGTTCGGTATTGAATTAAAGGTAAAATATAAATATCAGCGACAGACTACAGTACAATTCGACTGATAATGAAATTGACTATCATATTAATTGGAGCTGAGCAGCGTTTATCAAAAAGACATCCGTTATACTGATTGATTTCGGCCGTCACCCATAGGATGCGAATGGCGTGTGACAATTCGTGTGGTTTATGATGGTTCCGTAGAGCCGATATGGCTATCTGTGTAGCATTGGTCATAAGAGGTTTTTGTTGCAAGAGATTTGCAATTTTACTAAGGAGTTGAAACGTATAACATGTATTGAATTCGTTCACAGTACTTATAATCGCCAATGTACATGAAACCAATTTTACAAGGTAGTGTAGTTTGTATTAAATTCGTTTACAACGAGTGAATCCATGGGAAACGTACCACGTTTACATCGACTATCTCAGAGTCGGCTGAAATTTTCCTGGTTTATAGACCTCAACGAAGGTGTGGGTGTGGGGTGTGGGTGCGTGTGGGTGTGGGGTGGGTGTGGGGTGGGTGTGGGGTGGGTGTGTGGTGTGGGTGTGGGTGTGGGTGGGTTTGGGTGTGGGTTTGGATGAAAAGAAAATACGCAGAAACACACCAGAAACACCCACCCACCCCCACCTCCACCCACCTCTACCCACCCACACCCACACCCTCACCCCCACCCACCCTACAGAGAAATACATTTTAAGGGATCCTATTAGACGATTTCTGTTGAAATATAATTAGAATTCTTTGTATTTCCATGTGAGCCTTTATGCTTCAATATAACTTTTCATTTCTAGTATAAGAAAAAAGAATTAGAAATTTTTGCTTTCCCGAAAGATGCCTGATTTTGGTATAAAATACTTTGTAGCATCATTTCCTACTTTAAGTTGTAGAGAAGCGTAATGTTTTTGTTACACCCTATAATTGTACAAATAAATACTCAATTGTTTCTTTGAAATAGTTTGTATGTCAATTGATTAGTTCAATAAATGAGTTTCATTTAGGCTTGGAACTATTAAAAGTTCAAAATATTCATCGTGTTAGACTTAGTTTTTAGTTGTGATAGTATCTTGTTATTCAAAGTCTTGTTCAACGAATTATTGGTGTTACAGTAACCATTAATTTTATTATGAAAAAGAAATGCAATTAAGATAATATTTTATTGATTTGGTATAAAATAGAAATTCACATGATTTTTTTATTTAAATATTAAACTAATCAGTACCAAATAGTTAAAGCTGAAGAACAATAATCTTTAAGAGAATTTTTCTCATATTTTAAATTTGCATATCGAATGAACCAATCATACAATTGACTTTCATTTGAAATAATACTTTTGTGTACCGAATACAATTCTGTTGAAAAACAGACCAATTCAGTCCAATAACAGCTTTTCTTTTCAAAACTATCTTCTCGAGCACCTAAAATTTTTAAACAATTAATAAATGAACATTTATCTATTGGAAGTTCTAATTTTAAATGTTTAACATGTGGAAATTGATGAGCAAGTATTGACATTTCTTTTTCATTATATAAGCAACGTTTAACAATTAAATGATGAATAGAAGGTTGAATTATTGAATTTGTTGAAAAAGTAGCTAAAACTATTTAATTAACAATTATCTTTTTTTGTAAAAGATACTTACGTTTATTATTTGAAAAAATTACTTTGTAAATACGTAATAGCAAATTAATATTACTCTATACAGAACTGATTATTTCACAAACATGATCGAATTCTGTGTTTAATAGCGATAATTTATCATCTTTTGTAATTGTCACATATTTCTTATATGCAGATCTTTTAATATCTGATGATACTAATGTGCTCGATCCAACTCTGACGATAGGTAAATATCGTTTATCATTTTTATTTGATGGCCATGATAAAGAATAAATATGTATCCATCTACAATTTTTACTACAATAATATGTAATATTCATTGACCATCGAACAAAATTTTCAATTAAGATTTGCTTCGTAATTTGATGAGTTATTGTGTAATGAAATTGAAGAAGATGTGGAAGATATTCATTTAAAATTGATTCAATAGTGGGACCATGACAAAATAATGGATCAAATGTATCATGAATACTTAACGTTAATTTAACTAAATTTGTCATATAAGTAAGAATAGATTTCATATCATCAATAATAAATTCAATAGATGATTCGAATAATGTAAAATCAGTTAATCGAGGACATGTCCATCGTACACTTTGAGGATAATGACAAGCTACAATAGAAATATTTTCAGTTTTCCAACAAAAGTATATCTATATATAAAGGGTGTTTCATAAGTTTCGATCCCATTTTTACTTTTTTAATAACTTTTCGGTATTCAAAGATGGAGAGCTGCGGAAGATATATATTTGAAGAATAACACCTAAGCTATCATTCAACATAAATTGCACTCAATTTGCATCAACCATAAGAAAGTATTACGTTGGTCAAAATTTTGAAAAATTTTACCAAATTTATTTTTTACTCCCTTTCTATAAAGAACTACACTCTCAGTATTTTGTAAATATTTCTCTCAGTTTTTGATGCTTTGACTTGAA